TTTTTGTTTTTCCATGTATCCTGTCTTGAATGCCTTTTGAATGATTTAACTAACAAAGACAAACAATGGCTGTCCTTTCCATTTAAAAAAAAAGAAAAAAAGAAAAAGCTAGTTGGTTAGCCAACTACACGCTTTGCTTTGGATAACCTAAACCTAACAATGCCACCACTCTCCCAGTTCCCCTGTGAAAGGGACAAATATCTTTAGTGTTAACCCCCACCAAACTCTTCTTGGGGATGAAGTTATGGAATATNAATAAGGGTCATTTATATTGAAAGCTCAACCAAACATGGTTTTTAGAGCCGGAAGCTCGAAGGTCAAGAAGTTTCGTTCTAAAGCTTGAATCTTTAAGTCAACGGGATAATTCTAGTGTTCTGCTTTGATAAGGGCATTTCTAATATTTTATTACATTTGGATAACTAATGTAGCCGTGATCTACATGCAAATAGATAATTCGTTTATTACATATCGTGGTTCTTGATTTTAAATTCGAACAAATGACGTGCAACTTTTGAAAAAAAGGCACTCGACCACCGCTTGACTATGTCTCTCGGTGTTCCGAAATCAACACTATATTTCCACAACTCTCAAGTATATGTGATGTGAAATCTCATCATGATTGAGATGTATTTAATGCATGCTAACAAAATAGGTAAATTTATATGATATGGTGAAAAATCCAAGACGAAGGAATAGGTCCCATTAAAATGTATTTCAAAAGCGCCACATATTTTACATGCATTAAATACGTTGATAATGATAGGCTACTAAACCACACAAAATGAGTTGCTAAAAAAAACAGATCAACAAAAAAGAAGTAATATAAGGGCACGTGTAACAAAATTTTTTGCACAAGTTTCAAAAGAATTAAAAATTATTAATCCGAAAAGATCGCTTAGATTTAAGAAAACGTTGCTTGGATTTATCCATGGTTTTTTTGTGTTTTTTTTTGTTTAGTTTATTTCTTATCCCAAGGCCTTTTTCGAATAAACCAATTCATTTGGGACCCTGCAAATCCGCACCAACTAGTTAGGAAATCACATTGACATCAGCTTTCTCTAAACCTCGAGGAAAAGCATGAAAAAAAAAGGCTTGAATGGTACGATCCCTCCGTCGCCTCAGAATATCATGTAAAGATATATCTTTCACTCCAATAGTTATATGACAAGTACTTTTTTTATCGGACAACTACGTCCTGATTTGAATGATCCTATATTAAGAGCTAAATTGGCTAAAGGTATGAATCATGTGTGGTCAAAATAAAAATTTAACCAATTTTTAATAAAATTTAATCTAAAAAAGCGCTACTTTTGTAGACCTTGTTTGGCTTCAATAAAAAGTTATATATTAAAATTTAAGCGAAAACTAACAATTAGTTTTGATTAGATATTTAGCCCCTGTTTGGCCCCCATTTTGTAGAAATGAAATGGGTGGAATAATTTTTTTTTTAAATAATGAGTTATTGAAAAAGAACGAAAATTTTTCGATTTAGGTGTAATATTATTTTATGACATATTGTATGAGAAAAATACGAAAGAGAAAAATTGAATGAAAATTAACGGGGGCCAAACGGGGACTTAATGAACCACAAATTTTTTACTATACATTTAATCATTTTTTTATTATTATCAAAATTTACTTGTTTTGTGGGAATTAAAATCAATCTTTTTGATATACTTTAATAATTGTTGATGAAATGTGTAATTGAAAGGTTGTAGGTCTAATAAAATATATAGTTAAAATTAATTATTAACTTTGACTTAAATTAAAATTTTAATTTTAATTTTCATCAAATATGGATTACAAATTTAAAATTTTTACCTTAATCAAATATGGGCGTAATGTTTGGCCTTCATTTTTTCAAAACTCATTTTCAACTACACATTTTTTATAAAATAATTTCATACTTAAATTGAAAGGTTTTCTTAATTTTTAACCATACATCTCCAACTATTATAAAATGGGAGCTCAAACAAAGGCTAACACACAAAGAAAAATTATCGTAAACACGTGTAAAGTGAGTCATCGAGTATTAATTCAAATCATTCTACAGTAACATAATATTTGACATGATGTCAAATGACATCATATTGTTGGACTCTTTAAAACATAGTCAACTTTTCCAATCAATCATATATTGTCAACATTCATTCTTTTAAAGCACACGTTAACATTTTTCTGTCAAGGTCACTTTACCTGTATTAACCCAAGTGACTCAAGTTTTCTTCATAAGACTGTGGGCCACAAGCAAAATTTGGTTGGCACGCTATTGAAATGGGTTCCATATGACCGTTGGATGGATCATCGATCTAGAGTTTAAAAAATAATTTTATCCAAATTTAGCCTATATTTTGATGGACATTATTCGTAGAAAATAATATTTTAAATAGTGATTTAAAAAATATATATATATTTAAATATGTGGTTAAAAATGAGTATGATAATTAAAAAAATTTGTTTTAAATAGAAGCAAACAGGGACTATTATTGATATTTCTCATTTACCAATTCACATTTATATTAAAACTCTAAAATAAGTTAATGAAATGGAATTAAATTCAGAAAACACAAAAATAAATTGAAAAATATATTTTTTTAAATTCATTTTCAACCATACATTTTCCCATAAAATAATGTTACACGTAAATCAAAATTTTAAATAATATTACACGTAAATCAAAAATTTTCTTATTTTTTTAACCATATATTTTCTAAAAAATTACTATTTTAAAATATATTTTTTTCAAAAAATTTATTTTGATGGAGCCCAGACAGGGGCAAAGTTTTCTATTTTTTCAAATTGTAGGTAGATGATTACAATTTACTTAAATCTATGATGACTAAATACCTGCACTTGAACATTGTACATCTAAACACGACACGTATTTAACTGTTTATTATCCATTTAAAGAGTGTAGGAGTTTGGGTGTACCATTTTTATTTTTATTTTTTTGAAAAAATAGTGATCCAAATAATGAATTTTTTGAGAATGTGTGTTTAAAAAATAGAGAAATTTTTTTAGTTTATGTGTAGAATATTGTATTGTATGAACATGTGGTTGAAAATGAGTATGTCAAAAAAATGAATTTTGAAATAATGAAAGACGAAACATGGGTTTAATTTAAGACATCCTATAGCAAAAATTCGATAATACAATTGAAAATATACTAATTTATTCTTTACCATTAAATCTGCTTCATCAAGACATCAACTTAGCATTTGTTTGGCTCTCATTTTTTAAAATTGGGCAATTAGTACAAAACTTCCGTACTTTTCATTTTTAGACATTTTTATCTTTATTTTCACCTTTCATTACAAAAAAAGTCATTTTCATCCAATTTCTTAATAATAAATGTAAAATGATAAATATGCCCTATTACTTAAATAAAACAAAAAAAATTGAAGAGAAAAGAAAAACTAAAGAACAAATTGTAATTATATTCCCACATTTAGAAAAATTGCAAATAAGTCCAAATAAATTATTAAAAGAGTAACTAGCAAAAAAATCCATAACTTTCAATATCATTGTGTAAAACGTCCTTACTTTTTATTTTTTGGTATTTTCAACCTTATTTTCATTGGGAAAATCATCTTAAAAATTAAAAAATCATTTTCTTTTTTATTATTTATTTGTAATTTATTTGTAATTTTTTTAAAAAAATTAGGAATATAGTTGCAATTATTTATTTAATTATTCTATTTATTTTTGTTTTATTTGAATAGAAAAGTATATTCGTCATTTTGCAGTTTTTAATTTAGAAAATAGATGGAAATGATGAATTTCGCAATGAAATGTGAAAATAAAGGAGAAAGTGCTAAAAAAAAATTTAAAAATGTAAGGACGTTTTGCATAATAATATTAAAAGACATGGACGTTTTGTTCTAATCATCATTTTAATAATTTATTTGGATTCATTTGCAATTTTTTTTAAATGTTTAGAAGTATAATTGCAATTTATTCTTTAATTTTTCTTTTCTTTTTTTATTTTATCTAAATAGGGGGATATATTTATTATTTTGCATTTTTTATTGAGAAATTGAATGAAAATGACATTTTCCGCAATGAAATGTGATAATAGGAGGAAAAATGTTAAAAAAATAAAAGATAAGAACGTTTTAAACAATAACATTAAAAGGTAAGAAAGTTTATTACTAACCACCCTTCTAAAATTCATTATTTTCTTGAAATCATTTTTAAGTGTGCATTTGATGGAACCTACAACTTTTATAAATTTTTCAATCATCATTTGATTTTTTTTTATTTATCAAAATTTACTAAAGATATGAATTTTAACTAAACCAAACAAGAACTTAAGAGTATTGCCGAGTACTTGATTCTATTTAATTCCATCAATTTAGACTCGAGTTGTAGCAATTTTTAATTATTCTTGGTTGCTCACTCGAGAAGGCATTTAAGAGAATCAATTTAAAGTAAAAGTAAAATTATATCGTTAAGCTCATAAATCGAGAAGTTTAGTTAAATATTCCAAATTGGCGAACTTTTGTTCGCCAATTTTAGATGGAGGGGAATATTTACATACGTTTTTTAGAAGAATTTTTTTAATGCCAAAAAGTCCTTAGAATAGGGATGATGTGGACCTGCGTAGATTGGGCTACGCAGGTTCGGGTCAGCCCAAACCACAAATGCTACCCGACCCAATTCTCTCCCTCTGCCCCCGAATATGCTCCCTATTACCCTATCTATATATAGAGGAGGCGATTGCCAATTGTTATAATAGGTTCTTAGGTTTTGGCCGAAGACTCGAGTTCATTCACAATCATTGATTTCTCTTAGTCATACATACGTTTTTTAAAAGAATTCTTTTAATACCACAAAGTCTTCGCCAATTTTCTTCCCCTTCCATTGCAACTCAAGGCTTTTTCTTCAAGTATTTTCTTTTTTTTTTTATCTTTTGCTCTCAAAGGAAAAAGAAAAATCAAATCTTGTAACTTACGTAGTAATTGAAAGCTTAGCAGTTTTTGATTAGGTAAAATCTTATGGATGGCAATAATTGGAGGGCGAACTCGGGTCAAGCGCATGTCCCGGGTCAGGTTATGGGCGGTGAAGCTCCGGTAGCTCCGGGTATGGATGCCGGTGATTGGAGGACTCAGCTACCAGCTGATTCCAGGCAGAGGATTGTAAACAAGATGTACATAAATGCTTTTACTTCATATTTTATTTTTTATCTTTTAGGGTAGAAATTGTTATTCTTTCCGATTATGCTGAATACTTATCAGTTAGATTTTATTTACTGTAATCTTGTATTTATTGAATTTTTTGTGAGTAAGGAAGTAACATCTTGATGCTTCACCTGCATAGAATGGAAACTTTGAAGAGGCATCTTCCTGTCTCTGGACATGAGGGACTGCAGGAACTCAAGAAAATAGCCGTAAGATTTGAGGAAAAAACTTATGCTAGTGCTACAAGTCAGGTATATCTGTCACAAAACTCTTGATTTGTGCTGCCTGCGTCTCAAACTATAAAATTCTCACATGCATTCGATTTTTATTTATGTTGAGGCATAGCACAATGAGTTTTATTTTTTGACTCTATTCTCAATTCTAATCTTTCGTTTAATGATGTGTTCCTCCAGTCAGATTACTTGAGAAAGATATCTTTGAAGATGCTGACAATGGAGACAAAAACACAGAATCCTGTGCCCATTTCTCTTCAGTCCAATGTTCCAAGTAATAGCAAAAATCCTCAAGATCCAGGTAATGAAAATTCATGTACTTAAATGGTGCACATGACAAATAGGTTTCTCGTGCTTGTAAACAACTAGTTCTTTTTATTCTTTACTTTTACTAGATGCAAGGAGTTTTGCCCTGTCTCTTTGTTCTGAGATACTCGATAATTTCACTAGAATTTGCTTGCGTTATTGACCTTAGAAACTTCTTTGTATGATTGAACACTTCCACTAGGTTATCCCTTATAGAATTAGACCAGCAATGTAACATAACCAATTGATACTTTCGTGGCACTGTTTTTGCTAAGTAAGATACTAGTGCAGTACATTGGTTTATATAGCTTGAAGTCTTTCAGGTTTGCTCTTCTTCTCAAGCTCGAAAGACTTCTTACTTTCGTCTTTAACCATAAGGTTTGAAAGTTGTAAAACTATAATTTGACTGGAATTGTGCTAAAACTGGTTCGATGACTGGCACCTCTTCTTCCTTCTATTTGTATTCACAGGCTCTTGAGTTTTTCAGCACTTCCAACTCCTTGCATGAGATTTTACCAACTGAAACCGTAGAAGTGTGACCTTCATAAAATTAAATTATTTAATCCCTTCTCGTTCTCGACCAAATCTTCCATGTGGAGTTCTATTCGTTATTTTAGTAGCAGAAGCCTTTTGGATCTCTTGATGACTCGTGATCTTATTTTGATATAGTCAATTAATATGAGACCAGTGTATTCCACATAGCTTTATTCTTCATAATATCGAAATCAATCAAAACGCACCTCGATTTCTGAAGTTCTTGTTCATGCACTCTACAATCAGCCATAGGAGCCAGAAGCCCATCCTAGAAATTTATGCAATCCACTATTCATCTGAATCTTTAGAAGTCCATTGATTTCAAGCTTTTCCAGTGCCTGAATTGCCTGTAAGTGCCACTATGCATCTGCCTATTGTTGTATTCCTATGAATCTCTAAAACTAGTTTTCAAGCTCGTCCATTGCCTGATTTGCCTTTAAATACAACCTTCTGTGCTGCCCAATTTGAGGAAGAGTGTTTCCATAGTTCCATCTTTATCTGCTTTCAGTTTTTCTCTACTCACGTTATTATTTTGTGCTTATGCCTTTTGTCTTAATCATATATGACGTGTTTTCCTCTTGGTGGCAGAATGAGTGAATCTATATTGGGGATATTTCAAGACGTTGCCTTTAAATACAACCTTCTGTGCTGCCCAATTTGAGGAAGAGTGTTTCCATAGTTCCATCTTTATCTGCTTTCAGTTCTTCTCTACTCACGTTATTATTTTGTGCTTATGCCTTTTGTCTTAATCATATAAAACACTTTTCCTGTTGGTGGCAGAATGAGTGAATCTATATTGGGGATATTTCAAGACAGTCTTGTTTCTAATGAACTGATTTTATTTTTGTTATTATTATTTTATTTTTGACGTCCAGTTGCCTTTGCATTTGTCACCATGAGCCTTTTCCTTTATTCTTTCACTTATTACACTCATTCCATAACATGGTCTTTATATTTGTGTTTTTGCATGTATTTTAACAGCTTCTCAAAGCATGCAAGCCCAAATACCAAGTCAGGGGCAGCCACTACCGATTCCAATGGCAAATAATCGATCTCAATCGCGACAACAGTTGTTATCCCAAAATATCCAGAATAATATTCCATCAACTGGAGTGCCAAATTCTGCTAGTTTGACATCTGTACTTCCCACTGTTGGTGGCATGTCTCAGGCTACCATGCCTAATGTTGTTGGCCAGAATCCCAAAGTGCAGAACTTACAAAACATATCTAGTGTAACTCCAAATGTAGTGGGAAATTCCATGGGGCAAGGAGTGCCATCCAATATGTTTGCCAATACCCAGAGATCAAATCAAGGAAGGCAACAATCGGTTGTGCCCCAAGAACAACAACAACAGTCTCAGAATTCACAACAATATCTTTACAGTCAGCAGTTCCAACAACACCTTATGAATCAAAAATTCCAGCAGGGAAATATCTCACAATCCCTTATGCAGTCTCAAATCCAGCAACAGCAGCAACAGAATTTATTGCAACCAACTCAGATCCAATCGTCTCAGCAAGCTGTTATGCAACCTTCTTTGAGGCAGTCAGCCACTTCATCTGGTCTTCTGCAAAATCAGCAGTCATCTATTCAGCAATCAACTCAATCTATGCTTCAGCAACAATCACAATCAGTCCTCAGGCAACAGCCGCAACCGTCTTCCCTCACTCATCAGCAACAAACATCAATGCCACAGCACCCAATATTACCTACACAACAGCAACAGCAGCTTAGTGGGAATCAGCCAAATGCAACAAGCATGCAACAGAACCAGCTAATTGGGCAACAAAATAACATTCTTGATGCACAGCATCAGCAGCAACAGCAACAGCAACAGCAAAGGATGATGAGCCAGCAGAATAATCATTCCAACCTGCAACAGCAGCAGACAATTGGTCAACAAAACATTTCTAACATACATCAACAGCAGTCAATTGCTCAGCAGAATAGCCTCCCAAACTTGCATCAGCAGCAGTTAGGTCCTCAAACTAATGTTTCTGGGTTCCAGCAGCAGCAAATGGTTGGAATTCAATCTGGTAACTCTGGCTTGCAGAACAACCAGCAATCTGTTCATATGTTACAGCCATCTAAAGTTGCAGTACAGCAACAAATGCAGCAGAATGTGGGAAACTTGCTGCCTAACCAAGCTCAACAGTCACAGTCTCAGCCACCACAGCAGCAAATGATGTTACAGATCCAATCACAACCAGGCCAGCTGCAACAACAATTGGGTTTGCAACAACATACAAATTCGTTACAAAGAGACATGCACCAAAGGATTCAAACATCAGGTCCTTTGCTTCAACAACATAGTGCTCTTGATCAACAGAAGCATCTGGCGCATTCTCAAAGTGCAATTCCAGAGGCACCATTATGTGAGTTTCTGATGTTCAAATCTAACCTATCTATTCTTGGTTGCTTGAAATGAATTTCCTTCTCTCTTGTTATTCTGATATCTGAACTATGCCATTAAGATGTTCATTATTTCTGATAAAATTCTTTTCCATTTTAGCCTATCTGTAATCACTTGGCTATAGTATCATATATATTCTTGTTCATCCTTGTTAGTGTTCAATTTTTATTTCATGGTTTGGGTGCGAATGCGTACTTAATACACTGACAATCTTGGCGTTACTATACTTTGTATATTGGTTTGTCAAGATGCAGTGACTCTGATTATACATCTTTCTAAATTTCACTATGGTCTTTGTTAAGTGAATTAATTGAAGTTGTGGAATGACTTGAAATTTGGCAGAAGATATTGCACATGTATCAAGTTGATTTGGAATTGCACTTGAAATGAGTACATAAAGATTTTAATCCTGAAAGCAGGAATTTTTCGTTCCATTTATCACCGGGCATAGTTTATCCACTAATGCATTTTTGGGTTTTATGAAGGATGTTTTAGCTACTTATAAGTCAGAATCTTACATTACTAGTGAGGGATGGAATTCAAAGAGTTTTTGACTATCTGCTATAAACTCTACAGTTTGGGGTCCATTTATGTTTTGTCCCATGACTCTTTGTCTCTCGGTGTATCTATCTCTGCCCCCTCATCTCCCTCTCTCTCTCCCTAAATGGTTTGCTGAAAAATGCGTAAAGTTTTGAAGTATATATTATCAACACTTTAAGAAGTCTTTTTTGGAAAAATCTAGCACAGGGAGATAGATCCCCCCCCCCCCAATGTTTGTGTGTATGCATGCATCCGGCTTCACCTTTGAAATCCAAATTCTTTCTCTTATATTTCAAGATGGAACTCTCAACTCTTGTTTCGGTCACATTGTCAGATGGAGCTGCCTGGTCTATGGAGTATGGATTAACTTATGTCTTTGTTCCTTGCGCTTGATCTCTGATTTATTTATGTGAAAAGTATAGCATGGTGTACCAAAAAGAAAAGCTCATTAGGTATAGTCGATTGAACACTGTAAACACCAACACGGTTGTTTGTTGCGTTAGGAGCTAAAATTTAAGACTTTTTGGTTATATCATTTTTGTTCAATCTAAAAGTGGGGAAACTAAATCTTCTATCTTGTGGAATTTTTCTTGCTATTGTCAAATTTCAACGAGTGATTCTCCTGCAAAAGTTGCTCTGCTTTATCTGAATGTTGGAATGATGAATGCAAGAAAAAAAATAGAAGAAAAAAACCATGAAAATCACAGAAGTAATGTTCTTTTTCTTTTTTCCCTGCTATGCGGTTAAGTGGAAGGGAGGTGGATATGGCTTGATCCCAAGACCTCCAACTTTACCTTGACTATTGAACATTTCTAATATTGAGGGATTATATGATCTTGAGATTTCCATGCTTACTATTTTGATTAGATCATGGTGTGTAGCTTATAATGTAATTGTGTGTGTGGTGAAAAGGTTTTTCAATCACTTTTTTCCCCGTAAGAATTCATAAAGTTTTAACTTGATTTTCATGCTTTAACATTTGAGTATTAAATTTGAGTTTGAAGCTTGAAAACAAATTGTTATTCGCTTGTCTAGAACGACATGAAGTTCCCCATTCAGTATAATATATCTCATTTTTATTTCGTATTTTTATTATTATTTCCTCCCATGACTCGATGTGTTAGCATTAGATGTTGGAACACTTGTCTAGTTTAGATATTTGTATTTTGATTAATTTATTTATTTTGGTGAGATACTAGTCTCAAGAATTCTTTATGAATATCTGAAAATTTATGCATTCTGTGCATTTCCAATCCATTTTAAATAAATGGTTTTATGTCCATCAGAAATATGGCAATTTTTTTTTATTTTTTCAAAACTATATTTTCATATAGTGTAGAATGTAAATAAAATTTGCTCCTTGAATTCTCCACTTGTGTTTTTCTTTAAGCGGTCATTTTCACCATATATACAATAAAAATTATTGTAACATAGGTATATGGAAGAAATTTGATATAAGGACCTGTACAGGAATTGTGTATGAATATTAATTTAAAATTTTTTAACGTCTTGTAAAATTTGAAAGTAGATTGTTGAAAAGTAGAATACAATAGCAATTTGCATGTTCAACGAAAGACTCTGCTTCTCTTTTGAGTTTTTTGGTTCTGGCCCACGAGTCTCAATTTAATTCCCGAACTGTTTGTGCTTCTTGTTGCTATAGCTTCTGCAATATATGTTAGTTCATCGTGAAGAAATTGAAACAAGGGGACATAATCAATCATAATAAGCATGAAAATTAGCATCCTGTCTATGTTCCAACCAGACAATTAACCCCATTCTGTGAGCTCTGATTGAACAGAATGTTGCTTCTTCAATTGTGCCAACATTGATGGAAATACGTCTTTCCTATACAAGTAAATTGTTTTTGTCTCATATCATCCAGTAGCTTATTCATAATTTAAATTCAATTGCAGCATCTTTAGATTCTTCATCACAGACAGGAAATTCAATTGGTGGGGATTGGCAGGAGGAGATTTTCCAAAAGGTACTCCATTGAGAGAGTTGTCTTTTCCTGTCTATAATTTAAATTTTATTATATCAATTTTCAGCTAGTAATAGCCATGTACTAACATGTAATCGTTATTACCCTTTTGTTAACTTTTTATGTTTTTCTTGGAATCTGAAGTTATAGTGTTTACTTGCAGATCAGATCCATGAACGATTTGTATTTTCCTGAATTAAATGAAATGTACCAGAAAATGGCTGCTAGATTACAACAGGTAAGATATCAGTTTAGAAGAATATTATACTATGGTTCAATCATTCTTTTGTGGCTGCCTTTTCCATCTGCCTTTTTTTTTTTTTTTTTGTCAATGTATCCTGTCTTCAATACCTTTTGAATGATTTAACTAACAAAGACAAACAATGGCTGTCTTAAAAAAATAAAAAATAAAATAAATAAATAGAGCTAGTTGGTTAGCCAACTACACGCTTTGCTTCGAATAACCTAAACCTAACAATGCCATCCGAGTTCCCCTCTGAAAGGGACAAGTATCTTTAGTGTTACCCCCCGCCAAACTCTTCTTGGGGATGAAGTTATGGAATATGTTAGTTAGTCCTATATAGTAATATTCTCACATGATAATGTCCTCTGCTGATTAATTTTTTTTTAACAATGCATGTCTTACGGTGTTGCAGCATGATTCTGTTCCTCTACAGCCTAAGAACGAGCAACTTGAAAAACTCAAATTTTTTAAGGCCATGCTGGAACGCATTATTCAGTTTTTGCAGATTCCAAAGAACGGAGTTCAACAGATTCACAAGGAGAAGATTGTTGGAGTTGAGAAGCAGATTAACAATATTCTTAACTTGAATAAGCCCAGGAAGTCTGTTTCTTCTGTGCAGCAGGGGCACCTTTCCCAGCCTCACTTGCATGCTATTCAACAATCTCAGCAGCCACAATCTCAAATGCATCCCCATGATAATCAAATGAATTTGCAGACGCAACCTGTGAATGTACAGGGTTCTATGGCTGCTACGCAACAGAATAACACAACCAACTTGCAGAATAATTCCTTATCTTCCGTTTCTGGTGTTTCAAATTCTCGCCAAAACATAATGGATGGACTACAATCTGGTTCAAATATGGATCCAGGTCAGGGCAAACCAAACTCGCTTCAACAAGTAGCTATGGGCTCTCTACAACAAAACCCTGTCAGTGGTCCGCAACAGGTGAACATGAACTCGATATCATCTCACAGTGGACTGACATCAATGCAGTCAAACCTTAATCCTCTACAACCAAATTCAAATATGCTTCCAACCCAGCATGTAAAACAGGAGCAACAAATGTTTCCAGCAACACATCAGCAGATGAAACAACAAATTCAGCATCGGCAGCAATATAATATGCAAAGACAGCAGTTCATGCAACAGCAACAGCAGCAGCAGCAGCAATCTGCCCAGTTGGCAGCAAATCAAATGTTACAGCTTCACCAGATGAATGAGACAAATGAAATGAAGATGAGGCAGCAGATGGGTCTCAAGTCAGGAGTTCTTCAGCAACATCATTCCTCTGGCCAGCGTTCATCATATCACCAACCACTGAAGCCTGGAGCTCCGTTCTCTATGTCCTCACCACAAGCCCTTCAGGCAGCATCCCCTCAGGTTGGCCACCATCTTTCCCCCCAAATTGACCAGCAGAATCTGCTGACATCTCATCCAAAGGCTGGAACCCCCTTGCAGTCTGCAAACTCCCCAATCGTTGTTCCATCTCCATCAACTTCCATGGCACAATCAACCATCCCAGGCGAGTCTGATAAAATTAACTCTGGTGTTGCATCCCTGTCTAATGCTGGAAATATTGGTCATCATCAAATAGCTGGAGCATCCATCCCAGGGCAATCCCTTGCTATTGGCACTCCTGGGATATCCGCCTCACCTTTGCTTGCAGAATTTACCAGTCCTGATGGTTCTCATGGAGCTGTGTCAACTATTGTTCCTGGAAACTCAAATGTTGTCGAACAACCACTTGAACGCTTAATTAAAGTGGTTTGTATGAAACTTTCATGATTAATTACATGGCATACCAATTATTTATAAAGCCTATCTCCTTAATATATATTTGACTTATATCTTTTTTTCCCTCCTTTTATCAGGTGAAGTCTATGTCACCTAAAGCATTGAGTTCCTCAATTAGTGACATCAGCTCCGTAGTTAATATGATTGATAGAATCGCTGGATCTGCTCCAGGAAATGGATCAAGAGCTGCGGTTGGTGAAGATTTGGCTGCCATGACCAAGTGTCGTTTGCAGGCCAGAAATTTTTTCTCTCAAGATGGATCTAGTGGTACAAAGAGAATGAGACGTTATACAAGTGCAGTGCCATCAAATGTTGTTTCATCTACTGGAAGTGTCGATAGTTTCAATCAGTTAAATGGTACTGAATCTGATGGAGAGTCCAATGGTGCATCTAATATTAAAAGGCCTAGGATTGAGGTACTTTCTACTATTACTTTCTTTTTCTCATTGAACAGATCAATAACCAAGTTCTATATTATGGGGAAAAAATATGAAGATATAGAAAATTCTATTGCTCTTTTCTGTATTAATCTCGCACTTTATCGTTGATAAGAAATTATGCCAAGGGCAATGCAATCCATGCATGTTGGTGTATTCTTGGGAAATGGAGGTAACAGAAGGCCAACTATGTGGTGCCTAACACCTGAGTTGAAAAAGATGGCAAACACCAAGTTCCTCAAAATATCGAATACTATGATATATGGTAATCTGACTTTTGGGGAAGTAAGAAATAAACTGTGTAAAGATTCAATTTATGGATTTAGGCACTTGAACGTGTTTAGGACAGTATTGCCAACACCATTGAAATGTCGTCAATTGACATATGGTCAGTACAGTGAATGCAGGAGCAGCTCATACATTAATCAAACACTTAAGTTAATCTTAAGTTAATTATACAGTATATAATTCTAGTATGTTGGTTTACATACTACAAGTAAATTTCTGATAAATTTGAATCTCTCTCGCTTATATATGTTAAAATTTTAGTTTTTCCAATTTTGATACGAATTAATTGTGAAAATATTTTAGCCATGAGTTTTTACTACCAAAATTGCCTAGATGTAAAGCTTTTCACTACTCATGTTCTTTTTGTGCTTCCAACTTGAAAATCATTATATACATTCAAAGCTTGATATGTTTTAGAGGAAATACAAAGGGGAAAAAAATGCTTCCATGCGACTGAAGGTAGATAGCAAGGTAAGTTTGGGACATGAAAGTGCTTTAGCTTAATATTCCCAAGGAAAATGATCAACCCCTACTGCTAAAGACAATACTTTTCCATATTGTCACTTTTACTAACCAGAGCTTGGAATATATAAATTAGGCTCAATAGCAAAAAACCTCCCTACCTATTAGACGTTGTGCAGAAAAACCACTATCCATTAAAAATAGCAAAAAAGGTCTCTAAAACCTTTAGGGAGAATTACAACCTTTTAGGTATGGAAAATCCCTTACCGTCCAATTTCGTTAGTTCAACCGTTAAAAATAGTGAAAATTTGCCAAAATTAAAAAGGAATGATCGCAGTTGCAGTCTCAAACTTTTTATTTTCTCTGCAAGTTATACCCAAATTTTTTATACATGCCACCCTACAATCCCAAACATTTAAAACATTATTTTTCCGTCACCCGATCCCATCCCATCTCATTCCATTCCATCTCATTCCACCCCACTTCATCTTCCTCTCCACCTTCAACCATACCCATATAATTCCACTACTTCACTCTGTTAACTAACATAGGAGAAATGTTGGTGCACCTTCTACTCAAAAACAGAATGAAATGTGTTCCACTTCGGACCAAACCAAACAATCATCCGACACAATACCTTGTCACAAATCCTCGCCAATAACATGATTACCTCCCGGCAATCCACCTTTAAATCACCACTGCAATCACCCCCACCATCAATGTTAAAAATAATCTTCGATAAAAAGAGAGAATCACAGCAAAATCCAGATCTTATTATTCCATGTTCAATAAATAATCTTCAGAATTCTTTCTTTTTCTTCCCTTCTTTTTTGGTTTTCGATTTGGTTTCTACTTTGCAACTTGGACAATATTGTGTTGGTGGATGGTGGCTAAAGATGAGATAAAATAGAATTTCAGATCTACTTGCAATTGGTTCTCACAACTCACATAGCCCCCGTTTAGACCCCTTTAAAACTCTTCAATTTAATTTAATTTTTTCTCTCTCCTACTTTCAACTACACAATCTTTAATAAAATAATATTACACTCAAATCGAAAATTTTTCAACCACACAATTTCCAAAAAAATACTATTCCTCCCTATTATAAATTCAAATAATGGGGGCCAAACAGGGAGATAGATTCTACAGCCAAGCTGTGCTGGCAAAAATGGAGAGAGTCTTGAGTGTGAAGCTGAGAGATAAGTGGTACATAAAAATGACGTATAAAATTGAGAGGGTGTTGAACACCCATTTTAATGGAAAAACGAATTTTAGAATAGTAGATTGATGGAGAATGTGTGAATCAAAAATAAGGAATTTTTTATTTTTATTTTTGTGTAATATTATTTTAATGAAGAATGTGTGGTTAAAAAGAAGAGAGAGAAAAATGTATTTTGATAAAAAGGGGAATCAAACGGGGCGTGAATGTTGAAATTCCTGGTCTTTGTGTTGATTCAGAATAAGAGAGGGATAATGCATAGGAAAATGTGATGAATGATCTGGAAGTAGAAATATATGGGTATGGTTGAAGGTGGAGATGAAGTGAGGTGGGGGAGGAAAATAAAGTTTTAAAGGTTTGGGATTGTGGGTGGCACATATAAAATTTTTTTGGGTATAATTTGCAAAAAAGTAAAAAGTTTGAGCATGCAGCTGCAATTATTCCTTTTTAATTTTGGCAATTTTTACTATTTTTAACGGTTTAACTAATGGAATTGGGCGGTAGGAGGGTTTTCCACACTTAAAAGGTTGTATTTCTGCTATTTTCAATAGGTAGGAGGGTTTTCTGCACAACATCTAATAGGTAGGGGGATTTTCTGATTAAGCCTATAAATTAAATGTGTGAAAATTGATATTTTGTTATGTTGATCCTGAATCAACTATCTTAGGAATGTTTTCCTCAGAATTAAACCTTGGTGCTCTGAATACTTTGCTGTTGGGTTAAAGAGAGAGATGGTGAAGGATTTTGTTTAAATCAGATTGATTCTCTAACCACTTGTGAAAGGTTGGGATTCTGGGCACGCCTGAGTTGGCTGAAAAGCACGACTATTCTATGAGAAGACTCGAATTTTTCAAAGTAAAAGGTTTCCCATGAAGCTTCTAGCATCTCTCTGGTATATATTGCATTATTGCTATGGTCAGTGTGACTTTGTTGCTCATTCTTCTCCCTTGTATATTTTCTTCATAAGGTACCTGAAGGTGCAACACAGATCAAAGCGGAATTAATTTGAGATTACTTTTGGGTTAAGAAGAGAAGAAACTAGAGCATAGGATCAGAGAAACGCTCTGTACCATGAAAACTGATTTGGAGGAATAATATATTATTGATATGGATGAAGGATTACATCTGTGCACAGAGAGCATGTTGATTTACAGGACGAATAGAAGAAACTAGAGCATAGGATCAGAGAAACGCTCTATAGGATTACATCTGTGTACAGAGAGCATGTTAATTTACAGGACGAAGACCTGGACTGTACAATACTTGACCTAATCAAATTTGGAAACGGATTTAATTCAGAGATAACTATGCCCAATCTTGTGTCCTTAGCCCTCGTTTGAAGAACGTGTGGTTGAAAAGGAATAAAATTTTTGGGTTTATATGTAATATTATTTTATTTTGAGAATGCGTGATTGATAAAAAGATAGAAAAATGGATTATAATTTTAATGGGGGCCAAACAGGGGCTTAGTATATTGTAACGCCCTTATCAAATTATAGCAGATCACTTTGAGAATCTGACTTTTTCCATCATCACACTTGGGCATGATTGACAACCTTGAGCACGTTTATGCAACATAGCAGTTGCTGCTAATATCTAACAGCACAAGTAAATTTTTTTTTACCCTCAAGCTTGTCAGCAAAATGACGAAGATTCTTGAAATATTGGAGAAACAGAAATACCAATAGACGATATGCATATTAATCCTAGTAATTTTAAACATCTTTAATACTAAATACAAATGAAATGGGGAAATCAAAGCTTTTGATTTACATTGAGGCTTCGAGATCACTTGATATAATTATCTCTAGTTGTTTTCCTTTTCTAGGGTTAAAAAAAGAGAACTTCGTGGATTGGAATGAAATACTACTATATCAGTGGTCTTGATAGTTTCATCTATTCTTTTATTTTTTAGTCATTATTAACATCTCGTGGATTTTGATGAATTGTTATTTTGGAAAATAGGAGATCTGCTCTGCTTTTTTGTTTGGAGATAGTTCATTATTCGTATGTTATTACCCAAACATTGTATCCAAAAATGCAGGTGGCCCATGTTGGACCTTATTAAAAGTTAAGACAAGTAATTTTTATTTACTATCAGATCCTTGAGCTATTCACTTCAATGGTTATTATTATATATGATGCCATATCATTGGTTGTATAGGGTATTCCTTCATTGATTTCATGTACTGGCCTGCTGATTTCAATAAGGGAATAATTATTCTAGTGCACTATACGCATTTTGATTCATTCTTTCCTAGTGTAATTGACCACTGTTTGCAGGCTAACTACGCACTTGAAGAAGAATTACGGGAGATAAATGAACGATTAATAGACACAGTGGTATATATTAGTGATGAAGACGTGGATCCAACTGCAGTAGCTGCTACTGCCAAAGGTGGTGATGGAACCATTGTGAAGTGCTCTTTCAGCGCCGTGGCTCTTAGTCCAAATTTAAAATCACAATATGCTTCGGCACAAATGGTGAGATTTTGAACGCCATCATGTTAATTCCACTTGTAACATCTCTCTTCTGTACAATGGTTTTGACTTTACTTTTTACTGGAATGCAGTCCCCAATTCAACCTTTAAGAGTACTTGTTCCCAACAATTATCCAAATTGCTCGCCAATACTTTTGGACAAGTTTCCAGTTGAAGTCAGGTGAGAAACACAGAATTTCGCCCTTGCATTCTGGTAAATTTTATATTACTCTAATTTTGTTATTGTAGTTTGACCTTTTGATTCCCACTTCTAGGGCTTCTCAGTGTACACAGATAACACAAGGCGCTCTGCAAAAAGAGAGAAAAATGCACATAACCCATAAAAACTTACACAGTAAAGTTCCAAATAGAGAGAGAGAGACACAAAGATATTGGGAATGATATCAGGGCCACAATTTGGCAAGGGATAACACAATTCGAAAACTCTCAACTTGCTGACCCATGATACCTTATTTTGTCCTCTGTCTAGTGATATGAATAGTTACTAGAACAGTTAACCAAACCTTAAGACCCTGATTGCCACACACATTTCTCCAACATCAAGCTGCATTTCAGATTGTATGCTGGAAGAGTGGATGGTGCAAAATTGAAACCCTAGGGTTCGAAGATACTAGGCTATGTTGTAACTAGTCATGTATTTTTCTCCTCAGCATCTCTGAACATGCCGTACGATTATTGAATCATACTAGCGCCGTTAATAGACTAGTAGAATAACTCGTGAGGGTCAATGTGCTGCTAACAGTCTGGTTGAATTTCTTTGAACACGTGGTAGGAATAGTGGACCGCTGATATTTACCTGCTGCCTTTTGATCTATCTTGAACGTGCTATTCGTCTGTTGCCAGGGACTCACCTCACCTATTTTGCATTTATGGTAGTTTTATTCTTATCAATGTTGTGGGAATAATTGAAGAAAGGCATTTGAGATGAGAAGGTACCACAAAGCTTGACACAAATTCGAATTAGCAGCATGTAAAGAGAGTATTTAATGCATTTCCATAAACATTTCAAATTGAATTATGTTATCAAACAAGGATCAAGGAATTTGTTTCCCTTAAATGTATCTGTATCCTCTCTATTTCCTTCCACTTATTTTGAAATGCCTGAATGCTTTCACATCAGAGAGCAAAATTTAACCACCACAGACATACTGCACTTCGAGAAGAATTTAGAGTATTCTGAAATTAGAATTGCTCTTTGTGGGCTAGATATATGAACAGTAGTCTTATTGATGATTATCACTCAGCTTGTCGGAGGTACTGAGGGAGGCCTGCTATACAAATCCTCCTTTTGGAACTCCTGGGATGTGAAAGGAAATTGTCACTACAGTAAAATGTTGTATACTTGTCATGAAACAAGACTAAATACACAACATTGCCTTGGTATTGTTTGGGCCGTTCCATCCCGAAACTCGAGACACAAAATTAGAAGTTTGTCTTTGTCTAAAGAAAAAAATTATACACTTCTGTCTAGTCTTTACAGTACTAATATGAGACAAAGTCTAGAAATTGAGGATTGGGGCAAGTATGCAGGATGATAGCGATATATGATCAGTTCGTGGTTTATAGACCTGCATTTAATAATTCTGGCATAACTGGTGACCAGTGTTTAAGTGGCCACTGAGCCTTACATTTTTATTTTTATTTCTGTGTTACTAGAGATTGGCTGGCAGCCTGAAAACCCAGGCCAGCCTAACGTATACCTGTACTGTGAATCCCTCCCCACAAGCCAGCTTTATTTTCTCCAAATTATGTCCAGTGTTTTCACTTGCATATTATCAGATTGATATCTACATTTGCTGATATATCATGAAATCCCATGTATATGCAGCAAAGAGTATGAAGATATCTCCATAAAGGCGAAATCAAGGTTTAACATCTCTCTCCGAAGCCTCTCACAACCCATGTCACTTAAGGAGATAGCAAGGACTTGGGATATTTGTGCTCGTGCTGTTATTTCTGAGTATGCACAGCAAAGTGGTGGAGGAAGTTTTAGCTCGAAATATGGGACTTGGGAGAACTGCTTGACTACAGCATGATGATGCTTCTTATTTGTTCGTCTCCAATTAAAACTTTATGGATATTGAAGAAGATATTCTTCTATATTTATATTTAACCTCACTCCTGGAACACTGGACTTGTAAATATAGGTTTTGTAACTCTCCTGTAAGTCGTATGAATGTGCAAAGACTCAAATGTGCAGTACATTTATAAATGTTTATTTTTCTGATTTGGTTTTTAACTGTTCTGGTGAAGTTAAATATGTTCTATTTAGAAATCTGAACATATGAAGCAGAAGTTTTTCACAGTTGATTTCTATTCTGTAGTAAATTCTGGAATGCGATGGTCCAAGGGAACCCAGTTATACCTTTTGACAAGGAGTGTAAATAAATAGAATTAAGTGTCTAAATAGACTTGGACATCTTCTGGGGGAACATATATTTTGGCTCGAGCTCGACTTTAATTTTTAAATGAAGGAATTTTGAATTGATTGGGTTGGGTCGATAAATTGTTGGTGGTCACTAAAATTTTAGTGGAATTTTATGTTGGTCATTTGATTGTATTTATTTATTTTTTAAATAGTCTGCAAAAGTAGTTATCAAGTCATTAGTAGTGAGGTTAAATTGAAGTAAGAGTCAGTTCGTTACCCTAGTAAAACTTTGCTTTTACCGTTAAGCAAGTCTTGACTTGATCACTTTTACTTATTGTTGAGAAGCTTGGATACTATAATAAAATTTTATTCTACTCATAACATTCTTATCGTCAAAATCAACTTCTATACAAAAGAATAGCGTTTTAGGAAAAGAAACACTATATAACATACTTGGACGCTCTTGAGTGCACATAAATTTTAATAATACTCAAGCACAAGTGTAATCTTTTAATTTGAAGCCGCCAAGGTATATTCTTTTTTGGAGTTTGTTGTAGACATTGTAAAATCGGCAAGATTCAAATGTTGAAAAATCGTAACTAATTTGAGGGATGTCATTTTCATGAACTGGATTTTCTATACCTAAAATTTTGAAAAAAAAAAAAAAAAAACCATCCAAGTAATAAATGTAGACAAACACAGAGGATGAAGCCAATAAGAGCAAATGTTTATCCATGCTCCTATTAGAAGGTTTTAAATAAAATATAATAAAATAAATTATAGAAACCTTGATGACCTTGGATATATAAACCAACTACTAAACATATGACTAGATTAAGAGGTATCGAGATGCTACGTTTTGGAAGGAGACATTAAAGAATGAATATTTGGCAACAAGAACCTGGAACTTCTCTCCTGATTTAGCCTCCCTTTGATTCTCATTTTTTGGTCATAAAAATAAAAAATATGATTGTTATCCATCACATCAAGCCACAATATTTGACTTTCTATCTCTTGTGTGGGTATCATAACGAATATATTTTTCATTCTTATTTTTAGACAATTGAAAATCAGACACTCAAGTAATTTTTTTCTCCATATTCGAAATTTTATAAGTATTATCAACTTCTTCATTACTCATTTTTATTTATTTATAATTTAAATTGTTTATAAATACTTCTCTTCATAGGAGAGTTCTTGACAGTAGCACACTCCTTTCAATTGCCAAATAGATAATGAAATGATTCTTTTTGCAGATTCCATCCTGAATTTCACACAAAATTTGAGTCAAAATTGCCACATAGGTTTTGACATCAACATGATACATGCAACCTTTTTTAAGAATATAAATGCAAACCACAAATTTATAAGAAGGCTGCAGTTAACTCCTGTTTGATAGAAATTGAAATTAAAATTTTAACATAGTCAAAGTTAACAACTAATTCTAATCTTATATTTTATGAGATTCACAAATTTTCAAACACACACTTTATTAACTTTTATCAAAATTTACTAAAAAATATTATTTTAATTCCTACCAAATAAAGGCTTAATGTAGCTAGGCGGACAGTGCCATAAGCTAGCATCAGTGGCAGAACCAGACATCTTTCATTGCAGGATCAAAAGTAAGTTACAATTTTTTCTAAAGATCAAACCTTAACTAGCTTGTTTTTAAGGCATTGCTATCTTCTCTGTTGGGTTCCAAAGAAAACACAGAGGATTCATCCAAACTGTTGAAGGCAGATTTGCGCCCGCCAATGACCACATATTAGAAAAGTTAAAAAAAAATTAAAAGAAAATCAAAAAATTATGTGGGGTTAGTGTCCCCACATGAACCCATGTGGATCTGCCACTGGCTGGCACACATGCCAAATTTAAGCATCTCCAGCCCTTGGGGTGTTTTTGGCTAAATTAGTATGAAAATGCTCTCCAATCTTACATATTTGACACAAAATTGGGGTAATGAACAGTGCATCATTTTGGCGCAGCAATGTTCGTTTGGTATAATTTTCGGACGCTATCTAATCTAGTTTATCAAATATGTCAAAAATATTTAAGAAGCAAGATCGATAACTTGGACTTCTTAGTCTTGAGGTGATGTAATGTCAGTTTCTTCATAATCATCATGGAACCCCTTATCTTTAATTTGCTTACTCTAATACTATTGAATCACTTATCGAAAAAGTTAGTCAAATTAAGTTATTAAATTTTCTTCTAACAACCCTACTAATCACTAGAGCACTACGCTGGTCAGTTCTAAGCCGGCAGAGTTTTGCTATAGTAACACTCAAGGTGACAGAATTGCCAAATGGCAAATTACAACTTGAATCTTGATTATTACTTCTAATATATAGAAAAATGGTGTAAGTTAAAACTAATATGATTTACTACAACATAGAATAATACAATATATTGCACCCTTTTTGGGTGAAAATTCATTGAGTATAGGGGCTTTGCTGAATTTATTTCGAACATCTCTTCAACTTTCTTAGCGGAACAAAGGGTACCAGCCACTTCAGCAATCTGATTACCTACAAAAAGAGGTTAGTGTTATTTTCCCCATTTGACATTCTACGTGAGACTAAGTAGATGGAGAGGAATATGATTATAAATGCAAAAGAGCACTGCATAAGTAAAGATTTCGTATGGGTTCCTAAGGAAATTCCTGACACCTTTCGGGGTATATTTATAGGCAGTCGTTTTTCGTCCATGTGCTCGACAGTTCCTTGACTTCCATTTCAATCTTAAGAAAGTGGCAAAGGGGGAAAGCCACCAAAGAAGCTTATGAGATGGATCCGGGCTAGTTTTGAGGGCCTTAACATACATGTTTCATCAATACGGACATCACCAAGATCGGGGAATATAAATGGCCTTCAGTTAATAGAGTGAAACTCGATGGGGTGATAACCATCCCATCTTCGAACATGTTGTGGTTGATCGACTATGTGAAAGAGGGGTCGCCTAACCTCTTGTGGAGATGGTTGGTCGACTTCCTTCTAGTAGTGACCTTTGTTGGGTTCATTCGGGTTGACATCCCATTTTATTCCTATGTGATATGAACAGTCGTGATTTAATAAATACTTTCCATGTCTTTATTGACATTAAAATATGGTGTATCAAACAAAAATTATGATATGTTGTATCAAATTATACTAGTATAAATGTCCTAACAAGCACTGAATTGTATCAGATACTTGATATAATATGTCATGATACAATGTATCAAACCTTAAACATGCAATAATAAATAAAGAGTTGTACTAATGAACAACTGTTTTTTGCATAGTTGTATGAGTATGACATTAATTTACGACAAAAAAAATTTCAATTTAAAAATTAAAATAAGTGTAGAAGGATTTAATATTCAATAACAACAAAGTATTTCTTTGGTTTAATCAATTTATTTTTTAATCAGAATTTTTTTTGAATATAAAATTAAATTCCAGCAATCTCCAGCCTTTATAAATATCATAGAATTTTCCTATCAAAGAATTATATATGTAGGCTGTCTTCTGAAACATCGAATATACACTCGGATTATAATTTTGGAAGGTTGCTTAGATTCTCCCACCATTTCTTCTCCAGATTCAGTTTCAAAGAAATGATGGTCTGTTGATTTTCTCGATTCGTACTTCTGTTTTCTTCGTAATCTTTCACTATAGATCATCGTGGGGGAAAAAAAATGTGTTCCTGGCTGGGGCGTGACATAGTCGAATTTGGTTTAAATATTTATCATGTTTTATTGTACAGATTGAGAAGATGGATGCACAGAAAGTAGTACTGATCTCAACATCCATAGATATAAGTTGGATTGCAATTAAAGGGGTGGTAATGGAAGGATTGTCCCTAGACCCCGGGGATGAGCTCACATTTTTGGGAGTCATTCGCTCGATTAATCCTCGTCACGTGCCTTTGCATGGAGTCGTAAAACTTTGTAAGTAGAGTTACAATAGTTTTTTCGTTGTTAAAAATGAAATTTCCTGAACATATCGAGTCTTACACAAGTTGTGCAAGGCTAACAACACTTCCTTTCCACGGAACATCACTTTGCACTTGTATTTCCGCGACTCTGTGCTGCCACGGCATAGTGGTATGGTGATTGTCTTGGCCCATCGCGTCAACTCAATTTACACCTCTAGTTGGAAATAGTTTCTTAACGTAACAATAAAGATTTGAGGTTCCATCTTAAAATGTTAATCTTATTAAGAGGAGTTCTCCTAACTTTTGTATGTTGATCTATATTTCATTATTTAACCAATGCAGAATTTATACCTTAACAAACCTCTGCAAGACGGTAGTTCGTTTGAGCAGATCAATCTTGAAATTCATGTGCTCGTTTTTTATGCTTAATTGAATCGAATTGCTCGTTGGAGGTTAATAAGCTTTGATAACATATTAAGACTTAATGTTCCATTTAAAAAAATCAGCCTTATTAAGAGAAGTGATACAAGTTCTTATATGTTGGTCTATATTTCAGTATTTAATCGATGTGAGATTTATCCCATGACAATAACAATTTTGTGTGTGATGTTAACATTTTTGTAGTGGGATTCAAGGGTAAAGGTGATTCCAACATGATTTTTGCATCAAATGAGGGAAATATGGAGGAAGAGCTTAGTATGAAAAGGGATGAGTTGCAGAAAAACGATGGAATAATGCAACTGCAGAAACTGTGCGAAACAGAAAAGAAGGTTATTCTCTAAACCCGTGGATAATAAAAATGATTTATGACTTAACATTTCTTGAAATATTTTCATTTTCTAAATGAATTTATGTTAATCTTACAAACAATCAAAAGAAATAATGATTTTAATTATGTTTATTTAAGTACTATACTACTATGTGTTGGAGACGACTTATAGAAACGGGCTATGTAAGGATTGA